TCTGATGACACTTTTCGTTTCTAATAATAGAGCAGATGAAGTAATATTGCAATTGATGTTCCCGAGTATTTGATTGGATAAATGCATAAACTGTGGAGGGAGAAGGAGGTTATATAGACGGATCACATTAGTATCCCTGTCCTATCAATGTACAGGACCGCGATCAACGTCAGCCGGACCGATTCCCTGCGTCTGCCAGTCCCGCCACGGATTCATTTGGGATCTTCAAACTGACGAGCCCGTAGAGACGAGGGATCAAAGCAGCAGATTAGAGCCAATTGCCTGCCTCGGGGACGGCCAGCCCTTCCAGGCCTGGCGACGGTGGAGGGAGGGGAGAGACGAACCGAACGCCGCTGCGGGAAGACGCTGAAGCAAGAGCGACACCCCCTCCCGCCCCCCACCTTGCAGCGCAGGCTTTGAAAGCTGCTCCCCCATCTGAATGGAAAGTCGGAACCGCCGGGCGGCGCGTTCCTTCTCGCCCAGCCTTGCGATCCATGCGGAGAGGAAAGCGGTGCGAGCCCGCGCCAGCGCCCAGCTCCCGGGACAGGGCCGGCAGTGCTGCTGAGCAGAACTTGATCGTGCCCTTTCCTCGCTGCTAGTGGAAGCGATGCTGCACGGTACAGCCAGCGCTGCCCAGGCTCTCCTTCAGGCTGAAGGTTACCCACCCGCGCAGACAGCCCCAGCCCTGTGAGCGGCGCGCCGGTCCCGGCTCCGGCTGCTTGGCGGCGGCGCGCAGGGTAACGACCGGGCCGCCCGCGCCGGGGCGCACTGCATCAGCGGCTTCGGCTTGGTGGATGTGTATGCATGAGTTCTGCACCGAATGGGCGCAAAAAGCGCCCCGGCCGGTCCACCCGCTCCTCGATCTTCCAGATCAGCAAGCCCCCGCTGCAGAGCGGGGATTGGGAGCGCAGGGGCAGCGTCTCCGAGAGCGCCCACAAGACCCAACGAGCCCTGGACGACTGCAAGATGGTGGGTGAAAACTGCGCCTTTTTTTTTTTTTTTTTGGACAGGGGATGGGGGGAGTCGTGTATATTAATCGTTTGCTTGAGTGTCAGTCACTCCCCCACCTCCAGCTCCTCCATGCCGATCACGTGCACATGCACTATTTTTAACTCTGCAGTCCCCCAGATTCGGGGTGACACCTGGGTCGTAATGGCCCCTCGCAGAGAAGTGCCATGGCAAGAGTCGTGGGTGTCAGCGGCTGTAGATTGTGCCCCTACCCCCTCGAAGAATGGTGGTTGCGAAAGACACGGTGAACTGGCTCACTCACTAGGGAGGGTGGGAATGGGGAAGTGGGGGTGCTGCTTTGTGGGGAGACAGTGGCAAACAAACCCAAACAGAGCGCAGTAGGCGCTGCGGAGGGGACGGACGTTCCAGCGCAGAGGCTTTGTCCGGTCTTCCCGTCAGGCTCCGGAGCAGGAGAGATGCAGTGGCCAGCAGGAGGTGAATGGTTTCCCTGTTACACCCTACTTTTGGTCTCCCCCCACCCCCACCCCTTCCAGAGCAACTTCAGATCCATATCCTAATCGTAGCAGAGGGGAACGTCTATGCAAGAGTCCCAAGCACCATTCTCTGTTGGCCTGGGAGTGGCAGGATAGCTCTCCAAATATGCTCTTGCTCCTCAGAAACTGAGTCTGAACGGGTGGGTGCAAGTAGGTCTGGAAATAGAGCTTCCCTGGCTCGGCTTACCATCAGTGAAAAATAAACACTTGCCTTGGACAAAGAGACTTGCCATCTTTGTGCCTTACACTTTAAACAATTAGTAGGCTCCTTAACTGGAGATTTGGGAAGCTGGCTCAGGGGTCAGTGAAGTCCTCTGGTTTTGTACACAGAAATAGGGAACTTTCTGATACGTGTTTGGTGAAAGAAACTCGCTTCTTTTCCAGCTCGTCCAAGAGTTCAACACGCAAGTAGCCCTGTACCGAGAGTTGGTCATTTCTATTGGGGACGTCTCGGTCAGTTGCCCTTCACTCCGGGCAGAAATGCACAAGACAAGAACCAAAGGCTGTGAAATGGCCCGTCAGGCACACCAAAAACTGGCTGCCATCTCGGGGTAGGAGACTCTTGGCATTATTTGTAATTCATATACACGATGCATGGATGCTGAAAGAATTTTATGGTAGCCAAAACCTCAGAGATGATCTCTGCAAATTTGGAATTTTAACCAATCGCCCTGAGTTCAGAATTCTCCAGAGAGCTGTAAGCAAACTACAGACCAAACCATAATCTGAAGGCTGTGTGGTTCATATATATACTGAAGATTTTGGTTATTAAGTGATTTTTTAAGTTTAACTTTCAATATGCTAGCCACATACTGGAATTTGGGGCTTAAGATTTGGGGGAGGTATGTTTGGGCATCAAACTGAAGTTAAATCATAACGCCTCAAGATTATTTTGTCATCTGCTGCTGAACAAAAGGCCTGTGCTGTAGAGAAAAATCTTTGCTAAATCCCAGATTTACAAAACTATTTATACCATGAGATAAATTCTTATGATATTGCTTAAAATAAAGTCCCTAAAATAAAACCTTGGATATAAATTACTCTTTTTACCATGGTGATATGAAAGAGAAATTTTAACGTGAGAAAAGTTTTTTACAGATGGGTGAAATTCACAAATCTAAGTAAACCTAAACTGTTTTTGTCCCCCAAATTGTTCTTTTTACCACATTTAAAGATTCCCATGTTAAGTGATAAAACAGTGAGTGAAAACGTCCCTCCTGGGACCTCCTCATTCTTGATCTCTCAATATTGGGAGAAAAGTTAGCCTGGATTTTGTTAACAGTTCCTTTTTTCAAGATAAGTACTTAGAGCGAGGAAACCAGGAATTCTTACACAAATACATTAATTTAAGTGCTTAGTTCAACCTGGATATAGACATTATCTGTTTAGCTGTGTGAGTATGACTTTAACACTTTAGAAGTCCAAATTAGACCCACCTGATAGTGTTATAGATTGATCACTTGTAGAAGTTGTATCTAATTTACCTATTTGAAAGAATGAGTCCTTGACATCTTTAACGCCAATAATATATATAGTGACTATTACTGATATAGAAAGATTAGAAAGCCATATGCTGCCTCTATTAATAACTAGTTTACATTTGACAACAGGCATTTTATATCATGAAAAAAGTATACCATACTAATTTCCTCAAAGTGAGGGATAAGCAAAATATGTTACTAACCTATTTTATTTCATATAAATGTTGAAAGGCTATAACCCTTCCTGTTTTAACTGTTGGACTATATTTAACAGGAAGTGAATCTGCGAAGTGGAGGGAAATTAAGTGCTTCAGGAATGTGGGAATCCCCAGACAAGGGGAGAAAAAACAATCAGAAACATAAAGAGGAGTAGTGGTGAATTAAAAAGTCTAGGGCCGGCCGGTGGCGCATTGCTACAGTGCGCCGCTTGGGAGCGCAGTGGCGCTCCCTCCGAGGGTTTGGATCCCACATACAGACCGGTTCAGCTCACTGGCTGAGTGAGGTGCGGGTGCAGCACTGAGGGTTGCGATCCCGATGCCGGTCCCGGTCCGGTACGGGCGCAACACTGAGGGTTGCCATCCGTTGCCGGACATGAAAAAAGACAAAAAGGAAAAAAATAAAAAATAAAAATAAATAAATAAATAAAAAGTCTAGAGAAACAATGATTCAAAAGGAAAAGTAGGTTTGGAACAGGGAATTTTTAAAAAATAAAAAAAATAAAAAAATAAAAAGTCTAGAGAAACAATGATTCAAAAGGAAAAGTAGGTTTGGAACAGGGAATTTTATGTGCTGGGCTAAGGGGTAGCATTTCTGTAAACTTCGTGTCCAGCAGTGTAGGGTGGGATTACATCCAGGATCCTTTTTAGTTGGAACTCAAAATGAGAACATGTTCTAAGCAGGGAAGGTGAACTGGAGAAATGAATAAGTTCAATTCAGTCTAGTTTGCTATACACATGAAATCTGGGTTCTTCTAAAGGTTTAGGAAAGAAAGGGTCTGAAACTCTTGGCTAGAAGTTGAGTTTTGAGGATTTCAGGTGGATTTTATTTACTGCGTGGTATGTAGAGCAGCCCTTTGCTACTCGCCTACATGTTATCTGAGGGTTGAAGTTAGTGGGGGCAGTTTTATAAGAATTAGTAAGAAAATAATAGTGTTCTTAGAGCCTTGCAAAGATAAAGCCAACTTCATAATAATTCAAGTAATTCAAAGATATTATCTCTCTCATAAAATGCTCTAGGATAGCATTTGACTCATTTTCCCCCTTAAAATAATAATTAAATGCAATTTAACATTCTTTGAAAAAGATGACAGTAATATAAGGGAAGGAAATCCCTTTAAACCCTCACCATCTGGTCTCTATTAAAGAAGGACATGATTCCCTTTGGCGGAATTCCATTTCTGATATTGTTTTAAGTGGGTTCTCATTTCTAGCTTGGTATAAAGACTGGTAGGGAGACTGTAGGATTCACTTTGAAGTTTGAAGCAGATCTGAGCAAAGCAAAGCTTCTTGGGAATATAGAGAGAAGGACTGGATTTCTTGAATGTCGACTATTTGCCATCACGATCCAGCTAATTCACAGAATAGTCCACTGAGGGAAAGATGATTATTCTTATTGTACAAATAGGTCTCAGGGAGATTGAGGAACTTGCCCAACATCACATAGCGGAGAAGTGGCATAGCTTTGATTCAGCCCAACGTTTGCATGCTTCTGAAATCCATGCTGTTTCCTCTATGTAATGCTGCCATTGAAAAAGGCATACTGTAAAAAGGAACAAAGTATCGATACATGCTAAAATATGGATGAACCTTAAAAAGAATATGCTAGCTGGATGAAGCCAGTCACAAAATACCACATGTTATATGATTCCATTTCTATGGAATACCCAGAAAAAGCAAATCTATAAAGACAGAAAGTAAATTAGTGGTAGTGATTGCCTAAGGCTGGAGGTGTGAATGGGTAATCACTGCAGATGAGCTTGAGGAATCTTTTGGGGGTGATTGAAATGTTCTGGAATTGAACTGTGGTGATGGTTGTACATCTCTGTATATTTACTAAGAATCATTTAATTACACAGTAAAAATGAGTGAATTTTATGGTATGTAAAGTATGCCCAATTAAAAGTTTTTTTAAAAAATGGTATTATCACCATCACCATGATTAACACTTGGTCTTTTGCTGGCTTTATTCTTTTCTACATATGTAGCTTTTAATGACAGGGTATTGGCCATAGGGATGGGAGGGAAAAGAAAACCTGGCTGTCCACACTGCCTGACAGCCATCATAAAAATGGTATTATCACCATCACCATGATTAACACTTGGTCTTTTGCTGGCTTTATTCTTTTCTACATATGTAGCTTTTAATGACAGGGCATTGGCCATAGGGATGGGAGGGAAAAGAAAACCTGGCTGTCCACACTGCCTGACAGCCATCATCTATGCACCGAGGCTTTGCTCTGTGTGGGAATACAGGTGGGGGAAAGGCAGGGCTTGAAGGAATAAGTGAATCACTCACTACTCACCAGTCCAGACCACCCCTTCTTTGTCCACCAGTGGGCTTTGGGGCCAGAAGAGGGAGACATGATTGAAGGTAGACACAGTAAAAAAGATGAGGCAAAATAGAGAGGAAGAGAAAAACAATGGTTTAGAATTATACAAGCCACAAATGTTACCTCCTTTTCATCCCTGACCAATTGAAACAGTCCAGGAATGGTGGTAACCACAAGAGAAGTAAACTCAGACTGTTTCTCACTAACCGGCCCTGGGTAAGAAGGCCATGTTCACTGACACAGTCAAAACACTTTCTCAAACTCTGTTTAAATCAGTAGAAATTCGGGCACAGCCTTTTCTTTCAAAGTCATTAGATGTCTTCTGGACCGACCCGGCCAGGTGAACCGAAATCTCCTCTGACTGGCTTGATTTACCAAAGTTATTATACCTTTACAACTCTGTCTCCTAGATATTAAAGCTAAGAGGGTCTTTAAAGATCATGTGCGAGAGTGGTCCCAAAACTTTTTTAGCAGAAAATTCTTCCTTCAATCTAAATGTGGGAAATCAAACTTATAGGGCAGGTCAAAGTGCATTGCTCTGCACTGCTTGGGGCTGGGGGGCTGGGGATGCATGTGCAGTTTGGGTCCTGTCTCCTTGGACTTCTTTACCAAAGTGACTTCTGAGACACCTTCAAAGAATCCCTAGGAATCCATGGCACTTTATATTTGGAGTCTGAGAGTCAGAGGATTGAAGTGACTTTAGAGGCAACGTCACAGAGTAAAGATTTTGGAGTCAGACAGACCAAGGCTGAATATCATCTTTTATGACCTTGATGGAATTATTTAACTCTAACTCTCAGTTCCTTCCTCTGTAAACTAGTTCTCATGCCTGCTCATGGCATGAGAGGATTAAGTGAGCTAGGTGTGTAAAGAAGAGACCACGTCCCCAGCTTGTCCAATGGCATGCTGCCAGTTGGAGGCTACTCTAAGACTGGAACCAGGTCTCTTGCTCCCTGGTCTAGTGCCTGTTCCATCAACTGCACCACCTCTTCAAAATAAAGAGAAGAGCACAGCACACAAGATCGGGGTGATCCAGAGGAGCCAGCATCCTCCAGCAAACCCCAGGATTTGATGCTATGGCTGGTGAGCTGGTGGTTAGGATTCCCTTTCCTACGCTGCTTCTGTGGTGTCTGTGTTGAGCTGAATCTTTCTCACATTGCTACTGTCTGTTAATGGCTGCTAAAGAGAGTGAAAGTGTAGAAGGGTTTACTCCAGATCTTAAAAATAAGGTTTAAGTATGATAATGTCAGAGGCAGTATGGTGTGATGGGAAAGGACATTGCATAAAATCAAGTTAGACCTGGATAAAGTCCTGGCTTTACCACTTAATAAGGACACACATGTGAATTGATATGCAAATTGCTTCACAGAATGGTAAGTGGCAGTCTGGTATGCTGGACTGGCAGTGCTACTACTCACAAAGAAGTGTGACCTTGGGCAAAGATATTGTCTCTCTCTGCCTTAGTTTTCTAATCAGTAAAATGGGGTTAATAAATAATGGGACCAAATCATATGGTTTTGTG